CGGTGGAGAAGCGGTGGAGGGACGGGGCGGGCTTATGGAAGAGGAGATGGGGAGGGGGTAGGGGCGTGAGGTGGGCTTGCGGTGGCTCGGGGGAGGTGGGGGGTTGGGGTTTGCCTCCTCTGGGCAAGAAAAGGCCGGAGGGGTGGGGAGTGCTTGTGCTAGGCAAGGAGAGATGGGAGGGTGGGCTGTGCTTGTGGTGGTGGCCCGGCAGAGACGGATGGGGTTGTGCTTGTGCTGAGGAAGAAGAGGTGGAGGGATGGGGTGTGCTTGGACACGCAGAAGCAAGGGGTGGGGTGTGCTTGTGGTGGGCAAGAAGACATGGAGTGATGAGTCTGCTTGTTCTTAACGGAGAGATGTTCCTGACACAGTGCTGTGGTACTATTCAAGGTGATGGTGGCCTTGGCCTCGAACAAGCCGTAGCGAAACAAGCTGACCCATATCATGTGTCGTTTGTGACTTAGGGCGGCCCTCTGGCTGCTGGATCCTCCCTGTGGCACGGCAGTGGCTGCACGGTGTGACACTGGCTGACCACGCACCACAACACGCTTACCTGTGTGTGCTGTAATTTTAGACGGTGCTCTTCACAAGGAACAAGATCTGGAATTATAAAGTCACCCTCGTGACTTTGTGGCGGTTGCACAGTGTTGGAGAGCTGCCAGTGATACGTGAGTGACTCACCTGCCTCCTGTCTCTCAGAGAGTTGATACTTGGTGCAGTGGCACGTAGGATGGACTTTTGGGGAAAAACAGCTTGGCGTAAAGAAAGCACAGGTGGGCCAGACATAACAAAGAACTGATTTGTGGCTGAAAGCCAGTAAATGTTCACCCCTCCCATCAAAACACAGCTTCAAGAAGAAAAAGATGGCACAGCGTAATACAGACCCAAAGGGGCCGTACAGAAGCTCCTTTCTGTGGGATAGGAGCCTCTAAAGTCCAGTGTCTAGAAATGCTTATGACTTTGGATTCTATTAGAAGAGGAAACATTCATCAGTTCAGCTCAGGAGCTTTGCCCCCTGCATATTTCCTGGAAGTGATGGCACACCTGAAACAGGGCTGGGATTTCTCTCCCTGCATAGGAAACCTCAGCCCCATCGGTGCCTGGCAGAGGGCAGTGGGCACAGTGCTGCTGCGGGGCGAGCGTGTGGGAGAGGCAGCAGTGCCAGCTCGCAGACAGGGTATTTCTCAGGGTGAAATGTGCAAACAAAGGCTACAGCTGGATGGGGCTTTTGCACGGCTGTACCTGAGATGGCTGGTCTGCAACGGGTGCTGGCTCTGGTGGCATACTGCAGTGTGCTCTGCTCGGTTGTGTCCTGGTGTCAGAACAGCTTGGGTTGGCTACAGAGGAATTGCTGATATGTTTGATGGTGCCTTCATCCCTCATCCTTTGGTATAAAAAAAATGGCATACAGGCTTATTTGCTTGACTTTGATATGTTTAGGGTTGCTCTTGAGCTGTTTGACCCCTGTTTGTAACTCAGCCCCATTCAGGAAGAGCTGCTCTTTGACTGTATCATTCCTGTTACATAAGAAACTGTTTCTCTGAAACAAGTTTGTTGAGTTTTAGATGGCGGGAAGGCAGGTGAACATCTCAGGAGGGTGGAGGTGCTGTGGTCTGCAGCACGCGATGCTCAGAGCTGCATCTCACAGCCGTAGCCTGATGGCTGCTCTGTGAATTACGGCAGCACAGGGGGACCGGGGTGCTTACTGAGACCTCCATGGTCCCCCAGTTCTCTGGTGCTCAGCAGTCCCAAATGCAGTGAAACTACTCATGAACTCAGGCTGTGGGGAAGAGGGACACACCGGTTCCTTGCACTGCTTGGCACATGAATGTTATTTTAGTCATTTATTTTCCTCATTTAGGCAGAGTCAGGGATGAACAGGGCTTGTTCTTTGAGAATTCAGAGACAGATGTAATACTTGGGCAAATTATTTAAATGACTGTTCCACCAGTGGGCCAAAACCAAATGAACCTGAATCCTGTCCTGCTTAGCAACATTTCCTCACCCCAAAGGGGGATGATCTTTAAAGGCAACTTCTTCCTATATCTCTGCAGCAACATAAAGAGGTTGGTCTTTTCCTTTGGGCATATGTGGGAGAGGAGATACTTTCCTATCCGGGCAGCTGGGCACAAACCAATGGGATAGTAGAGTTGCAGGCATTTATTTAATTTCTTTATTTTTTTTTAAATAGTGGTAAGGTAATAAGAATGATGGGGGATTTTAGTGTACAAAACAGACTAATAGACTGACCTGTGAGTCAGAGTGCTTACCTCCCAAATCGCTGCATTCAAAGCCATGATCTGATTGCAGTGGTGTAAGGCAGGAAGCACCACTGTTCAGAGGGGAGCTGACTTGCACCAGCTCCGGCCCACCTTCCTGCAGGGTTTTACTGGTGTGTGAGGGGCCGTACAGGTATCACAGCCCATTATGGCAAGAGCAGCACACAGCAGGCCTGCTGCCAATTATAGGATTGCACAACAGGGGCAGAGCAAAAAAAAGTCCATTGTGGTTTCAAGTCATCAGCGAGCTCTGACTTTTTTGTTTCAGTTCCCTTAAATAAAGTAGTGTAGCTGTGGGAAGCACAGGCCTCTGGGAAGCTGCTGTACCAGAGCAGCCACAAAAGCTCTTTCTTGTTGTGGCTCCACCACGAAGAACCACAGGTCCCAGGTGGGCACAGCCATGTCGGGAAGCAGAGCAGCAGCCCAAGGAGCACAACCCCCTTGGAGCAGCCTTCTAATTTATTTCTGTTTAACACCGTTTTAAGTCAGCGCAATTACACAGCTGAGTAGAGAGAATCATCTTGAGATAGCATGCCCCGAGCTTCGCTGGTGTCTGGGCAATGTGGTTTAACCAGGAACTTGTTATTGTGAGCCGACACGTGACTCACTCAGTACGAGTAACACCAGCAGGCAGGCTGGCTGAAAGGAAAACGAATGTTGCAGAAACGAAATCAAGAGTAGGAGAGAACGGAAACTAGCTGTTTTTTGTCTCAACTCAGTTATTTGTGATGAATCAGCTTGATGCTGTTTCTGTGTCTCCTATAAGATCTTAAATACATCTCTTGGTTATTTGAGTTCCTCTTCTTATCTTCCCAAGACTGTTTGGTGTTGACAGCTCTTGTGCCAACCAAGAAGCTGTTTGTCTCTCTCTCCCTTTTCCTGTTTCTGCAGACCGCAGTCTTGGCAGTTCCTGTTGATCCTCTCGGGTCCCAGCACCCGAGCAGGAAACTCAGCTCTATTGTCAGGAGCACAAGCCAAAGGTCATTTTGGGAAAGTGCAGCAGGGTGTGGCCAACACCAAGCAAGGGTGATGATGACCTCAGCAGGCTTTTTTAACCCCCCCCATTTCTTAAATCACTCTAACTCTTTTGTTTGCTCTTCTCTGGCACCTTTCCTTCGGGGATCTCTCTCACCGTTACAAGCAAAGCTTTATATATCCTCAAGCCTCATCTCAGCCTCACTTTTCAAGGAAGTAGCTTTGTTCACTGTTAGTGATTTTCTGGTGGAACTGCAGCAAAGCTTCAGCCTCCAGCAGCTGCTGCTGTATTGCCAACACCACTATGGTGAGAGAAAAGGTTGATGCAGATATAAATAGTTAAATTAAATACGCCATTTAATTCAGCTTTGAGATCCAGCACCAGACAGGGAAAGAAGCTAAGGAGACCTGCCTGAATGCTGCTCAGGTGTAACACCCATTTGCACAGGTCTTATCTGCTGTTTAAATATTACCTAATGGCCCTCACACTAATTTTTAGACTTTCCCTAATGCTGTTCTCTCTTGCCTACTTCCCTTGAAAGCTTAAACATGTATTTTTCTTAGCAAAACATGAACTTACATGGCTGGTTCATATATCGCAGTGCTCTGTCACTGGTGGAGGGGATGAACACACATCTTTTCCACTACAACCACCTGTTTGGCAAGCAGGTGGCATTAATGAATTACTTCCAAAATGCATCTGAAAGATGATTTATATGTGTCTGATTTGGTGCCCACCAAAGCCAGTGTGTTTTCTTACTGAGAGCAGTAACATTTGTAAGAGGATGGGGTTGGAAAGCAGAGCCTCTGTGTGATATAGCTGAAGTGGAAGTGAGCTTGTATCAACTGGGTGCTCTTTAATCAACGAGTAACTTTGAGGAAACTTAGTTGACAGAATTTTCCTGATCACAGGTTGTTATACAGTCAATTCTATATTAGCCAGGGCAAATTATCTGGTGAGCTGAATTTTCTGTGAAAGCAGAAGCAGAGACACTGCAGGTGGCTCCTTGTGAGGTCATTCCCGATTCAGCTCATTGGTAGTCACCAAAAAGCTTTCTAAAGAGCTAAAAAGAATGTGAGAGTGGGCAAGATTCACTAGGTGGGTCGTTAAGTGGGTTTTAGCACTTCTCAAGATGACAATGGCCTCATAAAGGCCAGTCTTTGCAACTGCTATTCGGAAGAAGTAGGTATTGGCAAAATAAATATTAGCCTTGATCACTCTTTGTCGGGCTGGTGGAGTGTTTGCTGAAGAGCTTGTGCGTAGGTGCCTCCACATGCCACACATACTGTTAGCACAGCTGCACCATAACTGCTGGGTTTTTGCAGAAGTCCTTCCTTGGATGGTGACTATAGTTATTTTCTGTCTTGCTATCTTTGTTGAGAATTTGAATGTGCTCCATTTCTGGAATTCTTCATTGCTTGCTGGTCTGACAGATCTTTTTCAGGCTCTGGCTACTTCCTGTTTTCCCTGTTCCCTACTCCTCCTCAGCACTTTGTCGTGATTTTTGTGTATAGGCAATGCAGCAGGTGTGGGATTGGGAAAAAAAAAAAAAAGGGAAATCCCATGTGTGAGACACTTGGCGCTGTCCTGGCATGCTGGTGCCTGGCAGCTGAGCCAGCAATCTGGTACCCATGCAGGGCTTGTTATCAGTGGCTTGCTGTGGATCACTGAAGTCTAATGGGAGAATTAAGAAATCCAAAGTAGCTTTGCTGGACACCAGCATGGTGACCTGGGATTCCACCATCTGGCACTGAGCTTGTCCTCAGTGCTGCAGTGTCTCCCCCATACTCTTCCAATGCTCTTCCGTTGGGACAGGAGCTATTTTGCTTGGTTAGAAGATTTTCAGACTATTCTGAATAGTCTTCAATTGAATAAAGAATGTCTTAGGCCCCCTAAATTCCACAAAGCAGATTTAGTTCAGAGCAAGACTGAATTTAGCAAGCAGATTGAATGTAGGGCAAAAGGTGAGCAGAGTAACAGAAAGTGGGACTGAACCAAGGTGGGACACAGTATCTTTTGTGAAGCCTTCTCCTTTGAAATTTTTAGGACCTAACTGCTTTATTCACTGTAAAGATTATACCTCTACATTTGGAAAAGGCTTACAGTATGAATAAGAAATCAGGTGTGTTTGGTTGCGGACATGTCTTTGCTGTAACAAATAAATAATGCGAATATTATTTCAGTTTCATTT